ATTAACTTGCATCTACGAGAGTTGCAGCGGCCTAAAAAGTAAGCAAGTGCTAATTTGGCTATGTTTTTACCGGTTTTACACTGCTAAGAGGGGCCACCATTTTCCGGTTTTACCGGGTGTATGAGAGCCTATTGCGTTTTGAGGTTAGACGCAGTTTGAAGCCAAGAGTGCACGCAATAGATAAGTATCAATTTTTGTTAGGTACATTTAGTGGTAACCCGCCACCTGGTGGACAGAGTTCTGGAAGCTCCAACATGGCTACTCTTTTCTTCTGTTACTAGCACGATTCACCTACGCCTTTTTTTTACGTCTTTCAAATTTCCTCTTAACACTTTAGAATGCGATTGAGATAATAGGTATAAACAACAGCTACTATTGCAATGCTGTAGCATTGTCGCAAATTCCTATTGTTGTCAACGTTCTTGCGCGTTATTGGCTTTGGTAGTAGGGTGGTGGCCTATATGGACTCCTGGCCATTTTGTTCACCAAATGTCCGCTAATAGCTCATAATGATGCAATCTAGAGGGTCATAGCTCTCTTCTAGACGAACACTACTGGATCCTAGAATCATCTCCTTCCTTGAGATTTAAATCCTAAAAGGCGTTGCCGCAAAGTTTGGAAGACATTACAAGAGACAGCGGAGACAATAGCTGTTTTAGAACTACCTCGCAGCACTCGGAAATAAGCGAAGAATTTGATTGACCGTGGGGCTATTAGCAATTCGGTTGATTCGCGAAGTATGTTACGGTCTAGAAACGCCTCTTCTAATGATACTGATAACCTGTTATCCGGAGACTTGAATCTAACTGATATGCCTATTCTATGCAGCAGGATCATTACTACTTGCTAGCACCTCAACATGGAAGATCGTGCGGGAAACTAATTGAGACTGAAGCGGATACAAGCTAACATTGGTCCATGACAATATTCAGAGGTATATTTATTGACGGCTGTATACTAAATTTTAAGAAAGCTCTAGTCCTCATACCAGCAGCCTTTCTCTCGAGCGGGGTTCTATTTGACCTATTGTACTCAGTGAATGACGAATAGTCTTCTATTGAACAGTAACGAGGTTAAGTTGCGACTACAAGTAAACCTACTAATTGCATCTCTAGTTTCAAGATTATTAGAAAAGGCAGTATACTCTACACCAACCCTACGACTCAGCCAGCCCACTGTGACAATACTACCAGCTGTGCAGTAAGCTATGAAGCACAACGGCCTAACTTCACTGCGCTAAAGAGCCTATCAAGGCGTAATTTATCAACAATAGCAACTAGAGGTCGTATAGCTATCTATCGTGGCATTGTCTAATACAGATCGAGCTAGTGCTTACCAAAATACCACCAACAATATCTGATTCCAGTTTAAGTCGTTCCACTGAACCAACATTCATTTTACCATTCCACCTAATTTCTTCCAAAAATCGCTAAGCGCTGTCTATCTGGTTATGTAAACGCAGCGATGTGGTTCTTACTAACGCCGAAATAAGCATGGCACGTCGTGCAAATCGCCCGTTCATCAACAGCTTCATTTCCGAGCGCGAGATTGAAGAGAAAGAAAAGCATGGACAAGCTTGTTATTCCAATTTAATTGACTAAATTTGAAAGCACAGAGGTCATGCCGTAGATGGAGTAATTTACATAAGAAAGAGAGAAAAAAGCTCTGCGCCCGCGAAGACGGCGACTATAAGTTTGCGGTTCCTAACCTACAGCTTACATATTCAAAAAAGTTTCAAACTTCACCACCATCCACCACACCTAAAAATCGCTGCAGAAACCCCTGACCCGATTGACCTTCTCCTCAAAAAATGCACTTCAACATCCTTGCGGTAGTAACATTGCTCTTCCTTACGGGAACTAGCATGGCAAGCGATTGCGAGGTGTATGCGAATCTCTATTGTGAAAATCAGGGCGGAGCGCACCCCATGGCAACTCCGTATAGGGTACTGCAAAGCCTTTCTACTTGGATTTGAGGATTTACTAATGTTGCAAAAAAGTGTTTGCCTACAGCGGATGATCCTCGTAGTGTGAAAGGTCCGTCGAATAACTGGTGCCGGTACGTCAACGGTGTAAGCCAGACAAAATGGTATTGCGTAAGTTTTCATGCTTTTTTTTAAAAGAGAATTTAGGTTTAATGAGGATTTAGTGCGATCGATAAGCTGGTGGGTAATGGAAAGCGGGAGACTGGTATTAAGGGAGGGCGCAAAGGGTTTTCCTTTCCCCTCTGATGTAGGGTGATTCTTTTCTTAGCCCTGGGTGGAGAATGTCGCCGATAGCGCAAGCCGGGTATTTGGCTATTCGGGATATCTCCTTGGTCTGGTTGTTTTCAAGAGGCTGGAGTATAGCACGTGGTACTTGACATAATACTAATCTTTATCTTTTAAAAGCGGATAACAAGCAGATCGTTACCGAGCCAAAAAATAAATAAATCATGTTTTAAGAAGAGATCAAAACCTTCGTACTGTGTACAATTTATACGCTAGCCTCACCTGGAATAGAAAATTACATTTTGGGAACGCGCTTCTAACCATACATATGCATACACGCAATGCCTGCTAAGCGGGCAATCCCTGTTGGTAAGACTATTTGCACCAACTTATTACCTTGAAAAAAATTACTTTCACACTCAGAAGGCAATACTTTATTCTAGATACATCGACAAAATCAGCATCTTTCCTATAATACGCTTCGAATTCGATATGAATAACCAATCGTGATCATGTAAAAGTGTCCTGTACAACCTTAGTGAACAACAGTAGACCCTCCATCCACCGTGGCATATCTCGATCTGCAAAAAACCTAGTAGCCCCCCATACATCAAGATCCACATCAAACTAAACACAACTCTCGAATCAATACACGAGACCCCTTCTTCTTCTTCTTCTTCTTCTTTTTGGACCAAACAAATCTTTACCAAACAAAAAATACCACTTGATTTTTCTATTCATCTTTCTTTTACATACTCGACACATTCAACTCTCTACACCCCGTACCTAAACTCCCGGACCTTCTTCTGATAATACCACGTCGCCAGCGCACCCGTAGCCCCGAGCGCAATCGGCACGGGCGCCCGTCCCCCCGTCTTAATAATCCTCGGAATCGCCGATCCAGTCAGCATGATACTATTTCCCAGCGCAAGTTCCGTGCCGTAGTCTTGGTTTTGCTTGATGCGGTAGCCTAGGAGGTCACGTGTTAACTTCTACATTTACTTTTCACTTCGGGAACATCACAAAGATGTTTGCGTGCGGGGGGAGGGGAAAGGTTCTTTTTTTTTAAGGGAAACGTTTTTGCAACGTCGCTGGAGTTCCAAATGGGGAGAGACGTACCAGCAAGAGCGTAACTGGCTCCCAGTCCGATTCCTGCTACGAGGCTGGGTGTTGAGCGGGTTCGGAGATAGCCTGCTGTGCCTCCGACGGCCACTGCGGGTTTGTTTAGTCGATTTGCGCGACGCCGGCATGTACGGGTTTGACTTACATAGGCCTGCGAGCGTAAAAGAAGGGTGTTCTGCCATTGCTTTGCTTCTTCAATGGATTGAGAGAGATGGGTGTGTGGGTGTTTTGCGGGATGAGGAGGAAATATGTATGGGCGCTGGGGTGTTGTCCTAGTGCGGGAAAGCGGCGGGATGCCGGAGTGCCAAGGATCCAGATGGCTATTTTTTTGCGGCATGTTGGAAGATGACGAATTTCGATAGCGTCTAAGTTGTTATGGGGAATTTTGAACTATGATTAAAATTGGGTATTTTACTAATTGTGAATAAAGACTAGTAGATATCAAATGACAAATTTGTACAATAGGGTATGTCCTCCAAATATTACAACCGTACAGTCTGTTGCGCCAAATAAAAGATAAATCCACAGTTGTGTATCATTCGCGTCCCTTTGCAAGGAAAGCCGAAATAATCGCCTTTTAAGGAAAATCGTCACACCCGCTGACTAGACAACTACGTTGAGTAGTTTCATTCGTAGCTCCGCATACTCAAACGACAACAGAGTGGCTCACGCTATACCTCAAGGCTGGTGGCGCAAAAGCCGAATAGTCTGGTGGCATATCCTCCCTTGTTGCAAAACTGGAGCTTCGACTGGCTTCTGAGCTCGATGGAGGTGCAATGCTGCGTGGAGCCAACACATCGACAGCTGATCGGAATGCGCTTTCCTCCACACTGCGCGCGCGGGCATTCTCGATACCTGTATCGCTGCCTTGAGCGCAAATTTGGATTGGAACCTTGAGGCTCAGGCTCGAGCTGTTTTGGACTGAGAATTGCAATGTGAGAGCGTAAATGCGTGAGATTAGGCAGGAGTGGAAGGTCGGGATGAAGTTGCGTGTCATGGGTAGGGTGATGGGAACCAGGACTTGAGTCGTATAAAAGACGCCTTGATTGTAGGCGCTCGACCCCGGGAGAATGCCGTTCGCAAAAGCTTCCTCGCACTCACTGTTTATTGAGCAGTCGCTGATGCCCGAGTCGCGTCGTAAAAAGCTTGCCGGCGGTGGGTTAGATTCAGCACCGTGCTTTGTCCATTGAGCGGATGCAATGCAGAGAGTGGAGAGTGGCACGTATTCAGAGTAAAGACCTTGTGATAGGTCGTATGCGAGCACTGATCGTGTGGGCATGCATTTTCGTGCAGCTGAGGCGTAAAAGGTCGACACCTTGAGTTTTGTCGTCAGTGAGCTCAGCTTAGGTGGAAGATTGGTCTCTTCGGCTGGGTCAAAGCGGAGGATCAACTTGGCCATGGTGGTAATTAATTTAGTCTCTGTTGAACGGGCGCCTGGAATGACAAGAGGTGACGGTTGGACAGTTCTGGCTGATAGCTTTCCTAGCTTTCCTTTGAAGAGCCCCTTCTTGACAGTCCTCTCCTGTCTCTGTCGGTAGTCTGGACTATTGTCTATGTTGAGAGGTGGTTGCTCGGAAAATGCGGGTTTGACGCGAACCTTTTTAATCTTCTCTGCAAGCACAGAAATGCCTTCGGACCCACGCATGTGGGCAATCTTGACTTGGATGCAGTAGGTGATCTTGGACATATCTGGCGCTAAATCATCGAGCAATGTACTGCCGAAACCAGCGAGGTCGGCATCTCCGATACTAGGTGGGAGCTGTAGGTGTGTGTCGCGGATGTGGTCAGAGACAACGTCGTGTGAGCAGGCCCTTGGTAGCAATTGCGATGGGACGGTGAAGGTAAACGGGATCCGATATGCTCTGCCCGCCTCGAAGACTCTTGGATTTGGGAAGATGGATTTGTCTATAGGCTGTCTAAGAGTCAAGAACCGATGCTTCGCCTCTGTCCGCCCCGTCATAGTCGGCGTGGACGTCATCCTATCCACGTATACTTGACTGGTGCCTGGGGCTGTCAGCTACGGAATCGTTTAGGCTAGAAGTGCGATGCTCTCATACCAGTAAAACTAATGTCAATATCCTCGAAGCGCGTGTCGTGCTGCGCGGTAATCGTTACAGTGCCGTCAATAGTATCCATGGAGGAGTAGCTCATGACAAACTTGGATTGGTGGTTTCTGTCTGCGTGAAGGCTGATATCGATGGTGGGCTGTCCAAGCATCGTCATGTTGCGTGCCTTGTAGCCAATCTGGTTGCCCAAAGTCTGCATTCTGTCTTGATGGACGACTGCGGACGTGATTGAGGAAGATGGCATGTTGAGGGTATTGCGCACGCCTTGAAGCGCTCCAGCCAAGGTATCAAAAAGCCACTGTCAAAAGAACAAAGAAAGCCTCGCAGGGGAAGGGTCGCAGGCTGGTGCGGAGAAGGTGGAAACTGGGGTAGTGCAGACAGACAATGAGTTCAGGCAAGAGTTCGACTCTTGGGTTGCATGTGAAGATAAGGACTTCGCAATAGTGTCGGGCTTGGCCAGGGGACTGGGCTCCAGACGATCTTATACAGTTTGTGCAAATGCAGCTTGGCTTGACTCACCCCAGAAGGGCGTATGCATGTGCTGGGTAGACTGACGTGCTCTGCCATGGGATACGCGGGGGAGTCACCCATCACCAACGCCGACAGCGTCTACTATTCCGATGGCGCGGCACGCTATGCCCAAATGGGGCCCGCAGGTCTGGCAATTTTCCACACGCCCATGGACGGAAGCGTGCTAAGTGCGCCGCGCTGGACAACGGTCTGGGCGACATGTCTGTGAATTTTGCTGTTGCGGACCACGGCGAGTGGATACGCAGTGACGCTGGGTCGCTGCAAATTTTCGACGTTAAGCCGTTAAATGGTAAAAGGCAATTAGAGCACGTTTCAACACGCACTCAACAATCGGAGGCGCCCGAAGCTGGTTTGCCAGAACAAAATCTTTGTCGCGGTGAGGGCTGGCCAGGCATGCAGGCCCATGCCCACATGGAGGGTTGCTACTCAAGCGTAGGGCGCGTGGGCGCGAGATGTACAAGGGGGGCCGCCCATTAATCAGCACAACGTGCTCTGCCTGTAACCACTCAGCTCCTTCGGAATACTCGACTTTGGCCATTCCGAACCGACTCATCACCCATCCACCGCTCACACCTTGTGTTTTCCGGCGGACAGTTTTCGCGTGTGGTTTGGGCAATGCCAATACTTATCACGTGGGCTGGGGGGTCATTGCGGGTGCATTTTACTTCTTGGGTCTGGTTCAGCACGACGTGTTGTGGTCAAGCAAAGCCAATTCCGAAGCGGTGGCCCTTCGATGGGTAATTAGTGCCGAAGGGAGGAGAGGTGCAGCCGACGTCATGCCAAATCCTGCGAGCGCAATCCACCATCATCAACGCGTACCTGGCGGGAAGCGTGTTGCATATGTACATACACTGGCAGGCACATGTCCCGATTGTGCGAGTAGAATGACGATTGGGGTCCGCCGCTTACTCACCAAGCTGTCATACCTTCGGCCTTGACGGCACACTCAGGGCTCAACATCGGCCTCTCAAACAAAGCAAAGCAAAGCAGAATGGCTACAGCCAGAAGCCCTGCCAACGCTTCATTCGCAGAAAACCTGCCTACCCCGCCCGCCTCTTCTGCAGCGCCCTCACAGCACCCCTCGCCGCTGCCGCAGCCGCGGAAGCACCCTCTCAAGCCTGGTGGCCCCAGAGAATCGGATTTGATCAGATACCTGGATCATGGCATCAACAGCATACAGAAACGCGTGGATAATCGCATGACCAACCGCAAGCTCAAGCCTGAGCCCGGCGAAGAGCAAGGATATAACGCATTCTGGGAGGTGGCACGTGACCTGGATGGCTTGGTAGACGTCGTGTGGGTGTCGGCATCTCGTAAGCAACCTGGTGCGGTCGGTGTAACAGGTACTGACGTGCGCCACACGCAGCCAACCTCCAGATTCCCTATTTGCTCAACATTGCCGTTCTAACCGCTGAATTCCTTCCTCTGTTCACTTCAACAACGCGTTCCACCCAGGCCACCTTTCGCCTCGTCTCAAAACTTGATTATGCCTTCTCCTCACTACTGACTGGCCACGACCTTGCTACAGGCGAGCTGTTGCCTGGCTTTGAAAATGGCCGGACAGTTACAACCACGGACAAGGTCCGCTTGAAGGGCATTGTAGATCGCACCCGCCTGACTGTCGTCCGTGTTATGAGTGGGGAAAGCGTCGTTGGGGATGATCAAGACGCGAGCGAGGCTATGGATACAGATAATGAGCGAGAAGCAGAGCCACGGGGCCACGATGGAACTGTCACCTTTGAAGGCTTTGAAAACAATACTGACGACGAAGAAGAGGATGATGAGTGGGAGGAGCGTGGCATAGCCACTATTTATGAAAAGACAATAGGCGAGTTGGGCGACGTCCTTGGTGGCCCCCCAATTGGTATCATCACAGACGATTGGGCCAGCAAAGGAGCTGATCAGCAAAGAAGCGGCGGTGGCTTTGTAGAGTCTGATGTTGATTTTGACTAGGCCGGCATATAGCACATCACTTGTTTCTTTGTCTTCTGAGCTCGAGGCACGTCGGTGCAGGGATGATTGCTGGAGCTGGGCAGTTTGAAGATCTTTGCCATTCTACTCGGTTGTTTCTTGTCTCGTCTCCTCTTGTGTTATCAGTCCGCATGCTGTCTTGATGCAACGCACTTCCATATATTGTCTCACTCCACTCTCTTTCCTCGTTCTTTTAGATAGTCAAAAGCCTTGCCGTTATGAAGATTTGACGATGCAGGAGCTGTGGCTGGAAATGTTTTGTGTCGGACTGGAAAACTGCATTCAAAGTTGACGAGACAAGCCGACCGGCGGTGAATGCCAGGGAAGGAGCGTTTGAGGGTGCCTACCCGATCTGGCAGTCCACGATATAAGCCACGCGACAAAGCCCGACCACGCTCAACCACGCCCGACACATCCCGGATGGTACATGCGTGCACAATTCCGGTTGTGAGAAATCTTTCTGTTGCCTAACAATATTATCCATCCTGTCTATTGCGCCATATCCTGATACGCAAAATATTCTATCGCCGCCCTACAAACATGCCTACCTTCCTGGCACGCGGCGTGTCGGCACGCCTAGGCACCATGCCACTTGCAGGCACTATTTCTGAGCGGATTGTACTGCGAAAGGGAGAGGAAGCCAAGAAACAATCAGATGCTGCCGAGAAACAGCTGCAGAACAGCAGGCTGCTCAAGGAGGTGTCCGTACCTTTCCCAGGTGACGAGGAACGATACCGTCTAAACTGGCTGGGAAACGCGCCCTTTATGCAGGTACAAGCTGGCTGGGATGCTTTCGATGAGGAATGCGCAGAGACAACAAGGGCGACTGCGGGTACTTGACTCCACTTCATAAACAATACCAAAGCTAATCGTTACCCCGTAGGCGTTCCGTCCTCCCAAGAACCCAAAGCACTTGTTCTTCACGTCAATCTTTCAGACAGAACATATGTAACCGGTCTCCACGATCACAAAACATCCCTTAAGATCGAAGTCTTCTTCAATGGGCAGCTGAATAGTTGCTGGCTTATGGCTACACACGACGTCAGGACTGGTGTCAAAGGACACCATCAGATGTTTGCTGGCGCTAGGGTCGACTTTCTTGCTGAGCGGCCATGGGTGATCCTCCCACCTGAGACGGAGCCAGCAGTGAGCCTTACAACGCACCATGAGCCTACCTCAGTATTGCAGCGATGGCAGGATATTTGCCGCGCCTTAAAGAAAGAAGCAAATGAGAGGGGTGTCAACGAACAAGGGGAGGTCCCTCCAACCGCCACGTTTCTACAGGCGCTTGCAGCTATGCAGATGCCAGATGAAGTCCGGCATATGCAGAAGATAGGGGGAAAGGTTTTCGGCACAATCGACGTTATCGTCACCTCTGGGGAGGGCAAGAAACTCACGAGTGGTGTAGGCTACCTAAAGGCGCCGAAACGGATGTTCGACGAGAACTTTCCACTCATGAAACAAAGCGATGGCGAGGCTGCAGACGTACAAACAGTTGAAACTCGACAAACTGGAAGCGACAATGACCTCAAAACCATTCAGCATGATTACGATGGTTTCGACGCGAATACAGAAAGCGAATACAACCAAGGATATAGCTTGTCAACTCAGGAACAGTCGTTGGACGCAGATAGGCCTGACATACCAAGTGCTTCGGATTTTGTTCCATATAGCGGAATTTCGGACAACTTGCAGCACATCCAAGGACAGGGCATATCGAGCGATCTGAACAATCAACCATGCCAACCGAATACTGCACCGTATTTTGGTCCGCTCCAATATCCGCCCTTCAGTTTTCCCGAACCAAATCAACCTCTCTTGATGGGTCCTATGCAAGATTTCAGCATCGTGTCTAATCGATTTGGACCTAATGCATCTGTACCACCGTATCTCTTACTGGGTCAGCCTTTTCAGTGCGTCAATGATGGCACATCTCCGCTTCTACACGGAAATCTCACAGAAGCTGGCCATGAATATCCAAGAACACGTCGAAACGTGACTCCTGTTCAATTCTCATCGCACCAAGTTCCCGGCCTTCGTGAGCAAGGAGTTGTTGAATTACCACACGTGCCACTTCCTCGACCGAACAACTACCTGGAATGGCCAGCGCCACCCATAGGGCTGTACTCTGTACCCACGAAGCCAAAACGAAGCATCTTCCCGCGGAAGGACACTCTTTCGGTGAGGGTGAAGAAAGATGGCCGTGATATTCTGCTCACGAGGTTGGTGATTCGGGGACAGAATAAGACCGTCCTAATTGACCACAAGTGGGACCCACCAAAGCGCATCACAGTAAGATCGGGAAGATTGGTATGTCCCGAGTCTCAACTCGACCATTCAGCGAGCATGAATGAATGTCTTGAATCGTCAAAGTCTGGGGACATGTCTGACAGCATCTGTCAACCAGAGAAAACTGCAGTCTACATGGAAACGTCAGCGCCCACATCATCCGAGAATTTCAGCACAGATGTGTCCCTCAAAGCAACTCCCCACATGTATCATTCTCTAGATGAGTCAACTGATCTTTGCCGTAAGACTCACACATTGCAGTCGAACGATGCTCGTCTCTTCGCTCAATCAGAGAAGGACTCTGTGTTTTCCGCAAAGTACAGTTGTGACCGTCGCGCTTCACCGAGCAGTAGTATGTTTGCGGTTCAAAGTCCCGAAACGAACCCGCGTTTGTTTGGGAAACCAGAAGAGATGTTGCGGGAAACATATCCTCTCTCTAGCCTGTATATCGCCCCAAATATTGGTTTAGAGTCTATGGAGCACACGCTTCAATCTGAACAGAGTAGCCCAATTACCCCAGTCCCTATTGGAACAGCGGATAGTTCAAACGAGCACATCGTCCTACCGAGCCTCGACCGTTCTCACGGAGCGTTGTTTCCAACGGTCCCGAATTCGGCGGTGGAAGCAACTCCGTCTTCAATGGCCAGGAAGCGTAGGGCTTCCACTGGCGCTGTCACCAAGCGGGCACGCAATCGTACTTGCTTGAAGACTGACGACAATTCCTCACTGAATCAGAATTGTATTATCACATATGCAAAGAACAAGGGCGAGGAAAATGAGCAAGGTGTTTTCAGACAAGTCCGGAGTGAAAGATGTGGGGTATTTCAGGAGGACTATGTCGTCTTTGCGGCACGTTTCTTTGTAGGAGAAAAGGCGAGCATGGACAAAGAGTAAGAGACGTATCATGGCAGAAAAGGATCATTGGAGACTATATGTAAATGTATGAAGAGAAAAGCGATATGAATGGCATCCAGGAGCTGGTAATGGCAGGTATGAGGTTTGATAATGGAGATTTTGCTGCTTTATCAAAGGGGAGACGGATGCATTTGCTGTTCTTCTACATGCAAACACGGTATCCCCCAGTCCGTCAGTAGTCCAAGAATAGTTGGGCTTGCGGAAGTAGGTACACAAAGACAAAAGCCAGGATACCCAGGATAATGCATTATTGCGCAATGGAACCTCTGTTATCTTGAAGCCGCGGGCCAGGGATACAAGGGGTGTCGCGTGATGACGCACACCATAGTACTTACGTAGTCTCAGCTGTCAACTAGTACCTCCGCCGTCCCCCTTTCTTCGGTTCCGACCATCTCTTTGTCTAGACTACAGAGCATCGCAGCGCGTCCCCATGTATCCATGTATGACCGAGTCGGCCAGCGGTAACCAGGTCCTGTATTTTGTGCAGTCAGTTGTGCAACATGCAACCAAGCTGGCGCGTCACAGCCACGAAGGTTTGTCGGCCCTTTCCAGCTCGCAACCCCGCATCACAAGAACAAAGTGATAAACTCTGGTTGGCCAATCTTGACAGAGCTGCACTCCTGACTGGGAAACGAGCGCCTTGAGAGGCACTAGATTACAGGTAAGTTTCGGCCAAGCCGTGTTGTCAGTATCGGCGTGCAGATATGAGACTTGGTTTTTTGTCAGATGAGGTTGTCGCTGAGGCAGTGCTCTTTACTCTCTCACCCTCTCCTCCCTCATCACGCATCGCTTTCTTCGGGGTTGCGCGCTGGATTATGAATACAGCTGCCAAATTTGCTGCGCCATAGGTACTCTAAGTCATACAAGACGCCGACAGAGGGACACGGCATACTTCCGGTCGACAAAGTGCGCGACGGATGACATGCATGAGGCCCGAACAGTCAAGGTCGGACATCCAGCTACATACTCGAACCAGCGCCTGTACAAGTTGTATTCCGGATCTCTGGTCTTGCCTCTCTGATTTTTTTTTTTCCTTAAAAAAGCGTGTGTAAGATCCTGGATAGCGCGGCATTATGTCGAGCAATAGCACAGAGACGAAGGAGCCGTCTGGTCCAAGAGGCGGCACGCTCGTTGTCGCCATCATCGTGCCTTCGGTTCTGATTATTCTGCTAATTGTCCTTATTATTGTGTCAGTCTCTCGTCCGCGCGCTGCATGTCAAAGTTGCACGTCTGAGCTAACAAGCAGCAATCGACGCAGAGGTTTTCTCCTCCCACGACTGGCCCGCGAAGAACGGCGCGTGCGCGAGAACGGTTGGCAGACGCGGAAAGAAGAGCTGGAAAATCGAGTCAAGGCGCAGTATTTTTCAGAGTGGGTCGCCGGCCAAAAGGAAAAAGGGTCTGGCGCGCCTCCAATGTCAGATGCGCTATGGTGGGTTTTTTTATTTATTTATCTGCTGGCGACAATGGCGTGTCATGAGCTCATTTTGGCGGCAGTGCTATTTGTCTCGACGACTTCGCCGACGATTCACAGGTCCGAGGACTCGAGTGCACGCATGCGTTCCACTCACACTGCCTGGATGAATGGTATACAAAGTACAATGAGTACTGTCCGCTGTGCCATGGTCCGATAATCCCCGGGGCTCGGTTACCGAAGAAGAAGGCACGAGAAGTAGGCGAGCCGACTATTCCGGTGATTCTGATGGTCTGAGAGAAGACGGCAACGAAGGCAACTTGGTGTGGGCAGAGCGTCAATGTGGAGTCGGATACATACATGATAACGTATAGCCGCAAATGGACGAGACTACTAAAAACAGACATGGGGTCGCCACGCAGGTCCTCTAATCGCTCGGGTTGGACGGGAGATCTCCAACGGGGCAGGTAAGTTTTGTCCTGATCAACGGGCTGCGAGCAAGTGGGTCAAGCCAAAGGGGTGCCAGGACCGAGGCAAGTGTTCAGTGCCAATGAGACAATGGTGTCGGTAGCAGCGTATCCATGGCCGCACTCGACATGTGCTGTTTACGCATATGGACGACGTGCTGGCTGAGACGACCAGTGGCCGGCGAGGAGGAGTAGTGGTGCTGCTAGCACTCGACATGTGTACACTACTTGCTACCAGGCCGGGCCTGGTAGCGTGGGTGGGTGGGATTAGTGTATCCGGCACATCAACGGCTCCCGCTGCCGGCGGTAGTAGCAGCATGGGCCTTGACTACTACTCTCGACCTTGCACGGTCCAATACCAAGTGTGTCCAGTACGCAAGCACAGTCGTATGCTTGGAACCAGTATGCCGAGAATGGTGCGAGAGAGGCCGCTGTGCATTCCCTTGGCTCGGGGCGAGGAGCCACAGAGCGCGTACCGGGCAAGACGCACTGGGCAGTGGGCGGGGCTCAGCCAAATGTCACGCCACATTTCTGGTGGTCTGATCACCAACCGCCATCCAGACCCGGCCAGTCCCTCGCAGCTGCACTGTAATGCACCGCGCTGCGCTGCTCTGCTGCTGAGACGCCCGTTTGAGCCTTCTGACCCCGACTCCCTTTTTGCTTTCCCTGGTCGTCCACCGACACACGTCCACGCCCTGCAACTCCCGATTCCCCAGCCGGCCGTCCCCCCTGGTCGCACCACCTAGATCCTCTACCGCGGGCCTGCAAACCACCTGCAACCACTGCCAAGTCTCTGTGTTTGGTCTGACTACTCGTCATCCCGGACACCTGCTCCCCTCCTCGGGCTCAATCTCGGGCGCCCCTTCTTCACACTGCTCAAGCCCATCTGCCCTTCCTCCTCTCCCACTCGGCTCCCCAAGAGGCTTGCTTGCTGTCGTGTCTCTCCGTCTCTCCTAGGCCTCGACCAGAAACCAAAGGGAGTGGCCGCGCTTATATCCTCGTCCCCTACCTGGGCCTGATTCTGCACGTCGCTGGCTAGTCTCATCGGGCGGCTTGGCCATAGCACCATCGAGCCATTGTATCTCCTGATCAACGCGTGAGCTCTTCCGTGCCACAACCCACCCACCGAAAATCACCATGGCTCTCAATTGGGACGCATTCCTCAATACTGACGGTTTCAACCTGCCGAACAACCAATGGTCCGATCCTTTACCACCGACTGCTGCCCCTCGCGCCTCTCAAATGCCCAAGTCTACCACCACCGACACGTCAGGCTCTTCACCTGAGGACCTCAACAACTTTGACTCTCTCATCGGTGCTTCATCAGCCGATCCCTACTTTGACGACTCGCTCTTCCTGTCCAACGACTACTTTCTCGGCGATCTCAACGTCCTCAAGCCCTTTGGCAACACTGCTGGGGGCAAGTCGACAACGGAGTCATCTCCTGAGCCCACGACAAGTGGTAATAACCCCGCAGCACAGGCACCCGTGTCGCTGGCGAACGGGCTCGACCAATCAGTCTACATGTCTTCGGCCCAAAGGCTGGCACTCCAACGTGCCAACACGTTTCCTAACCCCGCATACGAGTCCATGTTCCCCAATAACATTGACTCGGGCTTCGTTGAAGACCTTACCTTTCCAGATGGCCCCAAGGGCCTATCAGTTGCCCCAAAGCCTGCTGTAGAAAGAAACCAACCCTCAACAGCAACAAACTCCACTTCGAAGCGAACCAAGAACAAGCCAGATATCCTATCTGCGTGCTGGACCTCACCCCTGTGTCCCAATCATGACCAAGATGGACCACCACCCAACCCATCAACATGTGGCGGTGGATGTGCGCCCTTCTTGTTCGCAGACCAAGACAACCTACCAAGCATCAGTGATTTGCTTGCTGAGCCTCAAGAAGTCATAGCCGAAGATGGCATAGTAGAGATTCAGCCTAGGCCCAAGAAGCGATCCGAGAGCGATGCATCTGCTAATGGCTTCTCTACTCGACAATTCGAGAGCAAGGAGACGACTTCATCACCGACCGAGGATCGCCACAGGACCAAGAGCGAGACTACAGAGGATACTTCGACCAAGGAGTCGCCTCAAGCCGACGACGAAAAGCCAAAGTCTCGTCGGCGACTACCACACAACCAGGTCGAGCGCAAGTACCGCGAATCACTCAACACCCAGCTCGACTCTCTAAAGAGGGTTGTGCCTTCACTACAACAGAACCCTCGGGCGTGCGATAGCGCCGACATTGAAGACCTACCCGCCCCTTCGAAGCCCAGCAAGGCCGTCATCCTGGCCTCAGCAACCGCCTACATCAAGCAAATGGAAAGAGAGAAGAAGAGCCTTGCTGATGAGAACCAACTTCTCCGCACAAGAGTAAAGGCTCTACAAGCCCTTGTCAAATGCGACGACTGCAGTTTGATGCAGTACGTCATGGACCTGAAGATCAAACAAGGGGCTTAGAGAAGATCCTCCCCCATTTTATTTTTTTTCCCCTCCAACATAAACCCCAACAAAATTCTGAGAAACTAGCCATTTTTGTTAAATCAGTACGGGATATAATGGTGTGCTTTGTTTGTTTTGTTCGAAGATTTCCTCTCCCTCAAATCTCAACATCGTAAACCTAGATTTTCCTTCTCACGAGTTTCCGAACCAAACATGGGGGGATATGGATGGCGGGGGGGACAAAGTAGCTAATTTGGAGATGTGGTGGTTCGTTGCTCTTTATTTGGGGCAACCACTCCTTTCCTGATTTTGGCCGCGATATCTTTCCTCTACTCTCTCTCCCTCTCCCTCTCTTTTCACGGGATGAAATGCACAGATGTTGCTGCTTACACGTAACGATTATGGCGTTTGGAAGGGTTTACTGGGGAATGCAAAAAGCGTGCGCTTTGGCGATGACGCTCATTGGCGTTTTTTTTTCTCCTGGGAAGGAGAGTTTCCTTTTTTTTTGGGTTGTAATTGATTTGAACGGGTTGTAAAGTGGGGGGTAGCTTCAACAGAAATACACAATCATACGCCTGTTTGTGAGTCTTCTTTTCGTTGGTGCGAGTTGCTGCACCAGAACTTTCTGGTCGCGATAAAGGGTGGGAGACATATGTCTTGAAAGTGAAGGGTTTTTTTTTCTTATTTCATTCATCCTTATTATTACTTTGACTCATTTACCCAGATATTATTATTCATCATCCCAACTTTCTTTTCTTATCTTCCAAACATCAACCCCCCCCCCCCTCTGGATAAAAAAAACGCCCTATCATTGTAATACTCATAGCGAATCCCTTGTCACGCCTTCATATCATCCACCCCCTCCTCCATCGCAACTCGCGGTCTCACGTACCCATCCATTTCTACACATAATCTCTCGTCAGTCCAATGCCGTCCCCTGTTTTTTTTTTCTCCCTCTACTCACCAGTAGAGAGAAAGAGAGAGAGAAGTAACTTACGCATACTACACTGTACATATCCAACCGGCCAAACCGGGCCATCCCACCTATCCCACCCTTGCTCATACGACGTTATCGATGCTTTTTCCAGCTCAAACGCTGCTTCGTCGGCGACGGTGGTGACTAGGGGTGCGGTTGAGAGCGGGGTCGACATGGAGGAGTTGTTGTTGTTGTTGTTGTTGTTGTTGGTTGGGGAGAGGGAAAGGTAAGGGTAAGGGTCGTAAAGCATGTATTTGGGATTGCTGGATTGATCTGGACTATAAAAATAGATTGCTGGATTGTTGTTTTTCTTTTCTCCCGCAAGGTAAGAATGGGTTGTGTGGGGAAATGTGAGGAGAGGGTGGGATGGGGGTGGAGAGGTTGGGTTTATAAGTAGATGGATGGATGGATAGTGGTGAGATGTCGTATAGCGGACAAAGTCGTGAGACCGATGAGTTAGTTCGGTGTGTGTGTGTGTGTGTGTGTGTGTGTGTGTGTGTGTGTGTGTGTGTGTAGGTCCCTGCGTCTCCATAGTTCATGGCTAGTACGTAGTAAACACGCGATAAAATCCAAAATTATCTCCAGATACTTTTTTTTCTTCTCCTCATCTGCCGTCCCTAGAACTCACTTTTCCGCTTTCCGCGTACCCTGCGCGTGTAGCATGTAAGCTGCGTCGGGAGGGCCCGATGTGGCACGGGATACTAGCGCGAGTGGAGAGATATGTGGCGTGATGGGGGTGGTGGTTCTCGGAAGTATCCGGTCGCGCCACCACGTGTCTGGATTCGGGTGCCGCATATCGTTTAATCTAGGGTACTGTACACGTGTGTAGTTGAATGTTTCTTGAAATGTGGGGTTGGGAGAGGGAGTATCACACCATGGTGCTGTCGTGATGTTGCTTGCGTTTATGTACGTAGAAGAGGTAGGATAGTTTAAATATGAAGCCCTTGGAAATACAGAGAATTTATCTACCTTCGTCTACAAACCCATCATTTGTATCAAAGACACACGATTGAACAAAAGTCACATATCTAACTTTTATCATTACTGAGAGCGCCACGATCAAATCCGGACTATAACACCAACAAAAACATACGAACCCATCCAACAAAAAATAGGTTCCATCATAAACTATCCAAGACAAATGTCGTTCTTCCCAATCATCCCTTCAACATCACTCTACAGCTCCATCCTCGCTCTCCCGCCACCCCACGACCATCACCACCACACCATCCACATGGACCACCACACCCTCTCCTCGCTCCTCTCCCACGTCCTCGCACCCACATCCCCAGCGGCCTGCCCCACACCCGCACCTCTCAGCGCATCTCCCCCACACCAAGCAGAGCGCCAAGAAAAAGAAGCCCGCATAATCCGCCTCGCGGAAGAAGAAGAGCTGGCGCGGATACAAAGCGGAGAGCAAGACGGCACGCCATTGTGTCGCGAGGAAGGCATCGCAGCGTGGCATCAGTGTCAGCATCAGGAACGCAAGGATTCGATGGAGGCGCAGAAGAAGAGGCCGAGGCGGAGTTTGGAGTGGTTGGCAGGCGTGATTAGAGAGAGGAAGGAGCATGCATGAGAGGGGGGGGGGGGAAGATTTTAGATCAAGTTATTTTATTTTATTTTATTTTTTCGGGAAGGAGGCGAGGAATCGGAAAGGGAGGAGAGAAAAGGGATAACGGGATAAATTTAAGGGCGCGTGGGAGAAGATACCCTAGATGGGACGGAAGGGAGGAGGGGGGGTTTCTTCTAAATTTTGTTTTTTTTTAGGTACAAGTAGTGAAAGGAGGTGAATGAGAAACTTTACATTCAATGTTCAAAGCAGAATTCTTTATCGAGCAGCTTACTGTATAAATTCCTATGCGAATTTTAAGTGTTGAATGGTTTTGGGCCGGGGTATTTTTTTACACCGTTGTTTCTTTTTCTTCCGTTCTTCAGTAGCGAGATAGAAGCGGCGTTATCGAGTGGTGTACACTGCTCGTGTCAAATGCACGATGAATTGAGAAGTGTAGATAAGGGTGGTGGGAATGGAAGCGATGGTGTGAGGTTCGAGGGATGGTAGCACTGGGTACAAGGTTTGAATACTGTGCAGATTTGGATGGGTATATGAGTTTTTTTTTCATATATTATGAAGCCGCATGAGGTGGAGGTGATGGAGGTGATGAAATGACTTGCAATATTATAGGGTGTTGAAAGATGAGTGCTTTTTTGGTACCCGATTCCGGCAGATTGGGAGTGTGGCCTGCCATTCTTTTCTGAGATGATTGATCCGATACGCTATATAGCCAACCGAGACAAAAAAAAGGTCAGGTCGAAAGATGAGTGCAAAGGTGATAGTAGGTTTTGTTAGTATGGTGGTTCTGGGAGTTGGGAAGGGGGAGATGAAGCGGATGGTTGTGGTCTTATGAAGGTTGGCTGGCCACACAATTCCATGTATACATTTCTGTGTTCTAGAAGTTGATGGCTCTAAAAGGAAGCACGACCCGAAGAATTGTTGATAGTTCGTATAGAGCGTGTCGAATCTGCGTTAGAAGTCCAGCGATGATGATGATTGACGCATCTTATACCAATGCTTTTGCTCGAAACTTTGATACCTTGCCCTCCTTTACGTACTTCCCTAGGAAGCATGGTGTACCTCAAGCTCCCCAACATCAAATCCCATCCCAAGAAATACACCAAGCAAAACAAACTACATCTCCATTACGGTAAGTAATCTTTTAGAATTACAACGTGCCATCGATTAGCTCCTTGGCAGCAAATATGTCACTGGCGACCGCTGATTGGTCGACTATTCTCTAGAGCCCATGCTCAAAAGACTTCGAATACACGAGCAATTTACCACATGCACAAGCGTCGCAAACCACGATGAACACAACAGAGCACGGTGCATACCAGCATGGCAAGAGCGCGGGGGTAAGAGATGGAGAAGATATTGGAAAAGCTGGAGATGCGCAGGCTATCGCAGGTAAGCATGGCAGTTTAGTCGATCCTACATACTAGGAACTTATTCTTGTCGACAGGACACGATGGTGAACAGAGGGGCCTTCCGCCATTGAAGGCGCTGTCGTTCCTCGATCGGTTCCTCGTCGTATGGATTGTACTTGCCATGGGGATCGGCATCGCGCTTGGGAATACAGTCGACTCTGTAGGACCTGCGTTGCAAAAAGGCGAGTTCGTGGGTGTCAGTATACCCATAGGTATGTGTAACCCACAAAAGCGAGTCCGGTCGAGTTCATGCTGATGTACCCACAGCAATTGGACTGCTCGTCATGATGTACCCAATTCTTTGCAAGGTCCGCTACGAAACGCTGCATCTGCTCTTCAACTCGAAAGAACTCTGGATTCAAATCGCAGTCTCATTTGTCTTGAATTGGATCATCGCCCCGCTATTCATGGTTGGCCTTGGCTGGGCGTTTCTGCCAGACCGCCAGGATCTGCGCGAGGGACTAATCTTCGTGGGCATCGCGAGATGCATTGCCATGGTGCTTATCTGGACTGATCTCGCACAGGGCGACGGCGACTACTGCGCAGTTCTTGTCGCCTTCAACTCGATACTACAAATCATCCTGTTTGCGCCTTTCGCCGTATTCTACATCCAGGTTGTCAGCCATGGCGAAAAGACGGCCGTCTCATACCAAGGCGTTGCGAAGAGTGTCGGGGTATTCCTTGGTATACCCCTTGGAGCAGCGGTCGTTACTCGGCTGGCTTTAAGGACCCTACTTGGAGAAGCACGATACCAACGGCGCTTCATCCGATATATGGCGCCGTTCTCCCTCATTGGCTTGATTTACACCATCATCGTTCTCTTTGCAAGCCAGGGCGCGCACGTTGTCCGGCAAATCACCGACGTTCTTCGTGTTTGCGCACCGCTACTCGTCTACTTCCTAGTCATCTTCACAAGCACAGTTTGGTTCTGCTGGAAGATGGGCTTTGGGTACAAGGTCAGCTGTACACAAAGTTTTACTGCTGCAAGCAATAACTTTGAACTCGCCATTGCGGTAGTGGTAGCCGTGTATGGTGCTGGCAGTGGACAAGCTCTGGCAAGTACCGTCGGGCCTCTGATTGAAGTCCCGGTCCTTGTACTACTTGTGTACGTCTTGAAGTGGATCCGGGCGAGGTGGCAATGGGTCTAGAAGGCGTGGCATTGTCCTATCAAATGCATGTCGGTCAGCATGAGATTAGCTTCGGATCCAAAAGCCACGACTCGAGCCAGAACTGGACACCGAAATGCAGGTATGAGGGCGGATCGTCCGGAAATGGTCGTGGTCCGACAGCTGCCTGCTTTCAAGGGCAGCGACATCTTGTCATGGATTCCTCGCGAGTCCATGCCGGGTATGACCCGGAAAGGCTTTGCTGCATTTGTAGCCAGTCATATCTGGGAAGGGATGGCCGTGACAGGATGGCATAGTAGCGCGAACCATGTTTATAGGTTCACGGTGGATGCCAAGCGCTCTTAAGAGTTGCGCTATTCTCTCGAAGCCGTCGTATACCACGACTTAGTGTTTAGCTTGTTGCAAATCATAATTTCGCAGCAAAACAAAGAAAACGTGGTGAATATGTGATCTGCAAACAGAGAGCAAAGCCGGTTGTCTAGTGCGCGCGGAGAAGATGCCTTACTCACTTACAGTGCTGTCGCTTAACAAACACCACAGTCCCTAGTCGCATGTAATTTTGCGACCGATCTTAGCACATGACCCAGCGCGCGAGCAAGGGTACGACTTCCCTGCAAAACCCCACAAGGAGGGACTTTCCACCCACACGGACCACGCGGCTTACCACACCGAAGCCACAGAATAGGGTAAATCCAGAACCGATGGGCAGGCGGTGAGGACCAGACGCAATCTTATCAACTTGACAGTGATCAACCGGTGGCTCATACAGCAGTAGGGCCCATCGATCGTGCAGGATTCTGCCCACCCCGTACCCATCTGAATGTAAGTAAGTACAAGGCTGACGACAGACAGTCTCCAGTGGGGTTAAATGTGCGGATTCTAGTCATTGAACGGTGTATCGGCGGCGCCGCAAGATAAACTCTACCCAAAAAGCGCTTATTCCCCTGATGACACATGGCCGCTCCGTCAGAAATGCCGATTCGCCGTCTGCGGGGATGGATCTTGACGATGTCGTGGTAGTTTGACTGGACGTCATAGCAGTCGACTCATCTGGTATGTGTGTAGCGAGTTTGCTGCTCGAATACGAGCTTGAAAGATAGTCCTCTTTACAAATCAGCCCATTGGCCCTGTTAGTTGTGCGATGGGCGTGACATGGCGTAAATTTTTTATCTGCTTTGGCAGAAGAATGATGCTGGTGGGTTGCCTTACGGGCACAAAGCTGAAAGGCTCCATCTCCATGGCAATGCATCTTGTACTTGTGCCCCACAGTTCTACTACTTACATACATACCATATACTACTCGGTACGCACATGCGTACATGGGCAGTTGCACAAGTGGAGCACGCATGTCGTGCACGCGCATGCCGAACGACTTTGTACCGTAGCAGGAGGGCTGATTTTGTCAAGTTGTTACGTGGTGGCAGGCTTGGCGATAGCTGCGAAGGTACGGTTGCAAGTAACCGTAGCACGGGGTGGATCGCTTTGCAACAATCCCTGCACATCCTGAGGCCACACAGGTTCGGAGATTTGGTGGCTCTGTAAAATGCTGGACATGACTCCCAGGTCCTAAACCTAGCCATTCGTGGTATATCGCAAGACAGACAATGCCATGTACTGGGTTCATGGCGACTGCCCGCCTATGTACGTGTAATTCGGTGGCTGCGTATGCTCCACACAGCCGTGCCGTAATGCAGCATATGCATGTGTTGGCTTGCAGTCGTCTTGGTAATTGCAGTCTCAAAGCGGAGTGTCTGTAGGGCGCAAGCTTGGTGTGGCGCCTCGCATTCATGACGGGCCAGTGTTTTTTTTAGCCAGGGCTAGGGCTGGGTGCGGCGTAAAGTCGACGATTGATGAAGCCAGCATCTGCTTACTCAGACTCGACCTTTGAGGGGGGGTGCATATGTTGCTGCAGCAAAAACTTTGGACAAGCGGTCCGTAACGTCCAAGGGAAAGCCGCAGTTAGCGCGTGGACATGTAGGCAGAGGCCGAGAATGGTTCCGTGTGTGGACAAAGATTAAGACATGACGTAGAGAAGGACCGCATTCGGGCAGGTGTTTGCCAGGTGGAGAGACGCTCTCTCCATGAGCGTGTTTGTTTCGTCGATGGTGGTAGCCGAGCCATGGCGTGGTCAGCGACGAACGCACACGTCGCTCTTAACGGCGGGCAATATAGCTGGAACACGTCTGTAAAGGCTGAAACTGGAGCTGGAGAGCGGACAGGAGGCGGGCAGGGCCTCGGCTATCATGCCCTCGTTCCCGTCTCAGGAGTGTCAGATGTGTGCGCCCCGCATGCACTCTCGAGTGCAGTCGACGAATGCTGTGGCTCCAAACAGCGCCTTGCAGCGGAGACCCACGTGCCTGGTGCCAATGGGGACAGGCATCCGTGGCGGCGTTGGCTGTCAAACAGGCACCGTGGGTTCAGCTGGCGGGCACGGCAGATGGCAGAGCCACTGCTGCCTGTCTGTTGTTTCGAGAAGGGCGGACGGGCAGTTCTGGAGCCAGCAGTGGTGGTGTTCATGCAGTTGGGCCGGCCGGCGGCGCGCCAGTCGCACTTTGCCCTCCCAGCCTTGTGGAGCACCCGGTACAGCGGTTCGACCAGGCTAGCAACGACCGTGTTTCAATCTGACCTTGCCCGGCTTGTGGACTGCCTGTGCCTGCGTGCCTATGCCTGTGCCTGCGTGCTCGCCCTCGTCAGTCTCGCGCTGCCCGCAATCTTGTCGCCTGACACCACCTCAGCCTGAAGTCTTTCTCTCCCATCTTGCAGCCGTCCCTTGCAACGTTGCATCGGCCTGGCACAATGAATGCTGCTGTTCGGTCGGTAGCTGAAACGGCTCCCTTCTGTCCCATCCACAGGGACGGCTGCACCTCGCTACCGTCCCCCGGCAGGACCTGGATCGCCGCCGCTGACCAACAAGCACAAAAACAATTATTAACAATAGGTTGCACTCATGCTGCGACTGCTGCTGCTGGCTCCCATGGCGGCTGGGTGTAGCAGCAGCACATGTATGTCGAGAGAGAGTGGGCCGCTACCCCCTAAACGCCCCCTCCCCCCCTGCAGAGACTTATTGACCCTTAACTGCGCTTGACCATGGCACTGGATACTGGGCGCATGGCCGTCGTCTAGCTGCTCGTAGTATCCAGTTCGTTGCCGTCGAGCATCTCTCCATGTGGCACAGCTGAGGGGACGGCAGCTAAGAGCCAGTAACATGTATGATCCTAGGCGAACCGGCCTTCTGGGAGCGCAGTTGGACTCTAGCACCACCCATCGGCGCATCGACTACGACCCGTGTCGCCGATTGCATGAGCATAGCTTGACCAATCCCACACACGGGGCTTTTGGTGCTAAATTTGTCAGCCAAGCAGAATGCTCAGCTTGCGCGCATCGACAAAGGAACGTCGATATGTTACTGTTTGGGGGGTGCAAAGGCGATGCTGCTTACTATAGCGTGCGGCAGAGATCTGCGCCTGTGCCCATGACATCGGTCGCTAGCGAGGTCTCGTCATCTCTACTTACACAAGCAGGCCAGGTCGCCCATGCTAACCGCGCCCGCGACGGCCCACCTGCTGTATAAGCTTGGTAGAGTAAGAATCTATGTTGGTGCCTTATCCGCCTAGCCGTAGAATTGTACATGGTGCCTGTGTAAGTGCATGGATACGAGCAAACATGACATGCTGTGCTTGCAGAGCAAAGCTTGTACGTTGCTTGTTGGCCCCAAAAGGTGGGACTCGCAACGGCAGAACCGCCCTTGTGTAACCCTTCCTGTACCGAATGACGACACGGGCAACGGAACGGCGCGCGGCGCTGCAACAGAAGAGTGCATCCATGAAGCGGTCGTGGCCGTGCATGGCAATGCGTGCCTTGGGCAGGCAGTGGTGACCAGGGACGTTTGTGCGTAATGAGGCCGGGTCGAGGGAGCTAGCGGGCGTGGCATAGTTGGTCGGCCGGGGCATACACGAGGACCGGAAAACGCGCCTGAAGGAGAGAGGGCATGGAGTTGCGTATAGCGCGCCTCAGGATGCAGAGGACTAGACCTGGCAAGAGTGGCATCTCGCGTAAGCAACATGGTGATTGAGGTGCTGCTGGGGACCGCGGAGATTATTCTTCCGCGCCGTATGACCCGGGCGACTAGTCGTGTCGGGCTTTGTTGCAAAAGCGTCACTTGTGCCGAGTATGTAGTATACCAGAGTGGTGATGGGATACGGGAGGAGGGGTGCGCCTGGGACGGCAACACCGGTCGGGGCAAGCAGTATGATTCGCGCCCGAGCAAGAGGGTGCCACGGTTACCCGGCAGGACGCAAAGGGGCAGACGACAAGCAGGCAGAAGCAACAGGACGTGGAGCTGGCGCGCAGCACACACATGGTAAATGCAAGAAGGGACGGCGAGTCTTGCGGCGGCCCATTCGCTGGAGTGGAGCATGGTGCGGGATTCCGCGCAGCAGTCTTACCGCTGCATTGGGCGTGCAAGGCCAATGCGAGGCAGGGCGGGCGCAGCATACTAGAAGGGCCGCCGCCTGTGCAGGCAGGTGTGGTGTGGTTGTGCGTGTGCGTGAGTGGAGGCCCATGGCTGGCGGAGAGAGGTGGACAACGAGACGCGTCGCGTGGCTCCTTCGCGGTGCTTGGGGGCGAGCGAGTGCAGCAGGGGATGGGACGGTCCTGTGTCATGCGCACCATTGACTGCATCTGACGGCGACACCGCTACTCTAGAATACCGCTTTGAAGGCGGCAGAGGGCTAGGCGTAGTGGCAGCAGCAGCAGCGGCAGCAGCAGGTAGGCGTGGGCGTGGGCGTAGTCGCCGGGCAGCCAAGTGCTCGTCAACTCTCCAGCACACGCCTGCGCCCGGCCGGGGAGGACTCGCAGAGCCACAGCGTGAGTGTCAGTGCACGGGTCCACTTCCGAGCGCGAGATCCCGCCACTATGGTAGCTGGAAAAGGCTATCCTCTGTTGGGTCCAGCTCCGAGCGTGTCGCGGGCTGCGTGCTGTCGTAGTGCCATGGACAGGCCACCTAATTAATAGCTGGCCTGTTAATGGCCTACGGCGCGGATGGGTCCCAGAGGTGCAAAGATGCAGATGGGTGGACCCGCCCTCGGACTGCCTCTTGCATTCATGCCGGCACGCCTGCGTGTGGTCGACCAGCCCCAGCCAGCGTCAGCGCTCGTTTCGCTTTTAAATCCAGCGCCCATCGCTCCTCGCTCTCGCCCTAGAGATTGAGCCTGAGATCCCGGCCTCTGACCCTCCCACCTGCCCGTCGACACGACCTTGACGACATCTGCCACGACCGCCTTGACGACTACTACTACTACCACCACCACCACCACGCCCACGGCCCAGCCAGCCCGCCCCCAAGAACCCACGGCCCTCCCTCTCCTTCCTCTCGCCCGCCGCCCCATCATCCCATCCTCCCACTCGCTGCGCCCCCTCTCCTCTCTGCTCTGATTGCCCCTCTGCAGCAACACCCCGCCAGCGGCAGCGACACGTGAAGCGAGAAGTGGCCTCTTGTCCCATGATCAGCGCGGACACGGCGACCAAACGAGAAACCGCCCTAATTCCTGCAGCAATATACCGGCAGCCACCACCCTTCTAGCCAATCCACCCACCAACCCCAGCTCCCCTCGCCCCTGAGGCTGCTCAGCGACCGCCGTTCGCTCCAATGATCACGATGACATCGAATGGGTGAGTGTACCGCCTTCTCCCCGCTCCGTGCAACCCTCTCCAATTTCCCGGCGGCAATGCGCCCTGCGCTGGCCTGGGCCAAGCTACCCTGCCAGACGGCTAACCCGTGCTTTCCCCCCCACCACAGATTGCCCGTGCCCGCTCAGAACAGCAACTACATGGAAAATGGCCGCTGGTATCATGGCTTCCGGAGAGGGCTTTACATGTACCCGTGCGACGAGGTAGGCACCCACCAAACAAACACCCCCACTACCGCTACTACCATTACCGCCGCCGCCCACCCTGCCCGCTTGCTTTGCGCTGACGCGATACCACAGCCAGAAAAGGATCGCATGGACATCTACCACCAGTTTTTCGCCGTAGCACGGAGAGGCCAGCTGCATCAGGCTCCCGTGCCCTCAGAGCCACATCTGCAGCCCCGCATCCTCGACGTAGGCTGTGGGACAGGCATCTGGGCAATTGACATGGCCGAGTAAGTTTTGGGTTCCGCAGCCTGCAATTTGCGTCCCGCAAGGCTAACCACGACGGTAACAGCAAGTACCTAAACGCCGAGGTGCGCCCAATCTAGATCCGACGCATTGCTGCCAGACAGCTGACGTGACTGCTGCAGGTCCTAGGATTAGATCTGGTCAACATCCAGCCCGAGAAGTATGTCCCACCACAAACACAAGCTGCTTGCTTCCGAACCCGACACTGACGAATCCGCCTAGAATCCCCCCGAACCTGCGGTTCCGTGTACCACGCGATTACGAGAGCCCCTGGACGCTGGGCGAGGATTCGTGGGATCTCATCCATCTGCGAATGGCCTGCGGCAGCGTCGAGAGCTGGCCAGAGCTGTACCAAAAAATCTACACGTATGCGTGCCCCATTGTCGCGCTGCTTGCGCCTTCGATTTCTGCATATGCTGACGGCTGTCCAGTCACCTCAAACCAGGCACGGGCTGGATAGAACATATTGAAATCGACATGGAGCCCCGCTGCGACGACTACACGCTCCCACCTGACAGCATGCTTCGCAAGTGGTATGGTTGGCTGGCTGATGCCACGCAACGAGCTTACCGCCCCATCGCATACGAACATCGCACTCGGCAGCTCCTGCAGGCCGCCGGCTTCATTGATATCCAGGAGACTGTGATTCGCGTGCCCTACAACACATGGCCCAATGACCCGCACCAGAAGGATATTGGCAGGTGGTACAACTTGGGCTTGACCGAGGGCCTGGAGGCGCTAACCTTTGCACCTCTGACCAGAGTCTATCATTGGGACCTCAATGCCCACGTACGGCCAATTGTCGAGGGCGTGCGCAGGGAGCTCTGCAACCGGAAAATCCATGCGTACAACAACATGTAAGTAGCACGCCCGCTCCCGTCGCACCAATTGTTTGATGTTACTGGGCCGATGCTGATAGTTTTCTCTGCAGCCACATTTGGACTGCCCGTCGGCCTCAGCAATAGAAGCGGGCACGACGCTTGCAGCGATGCGTTTGACGGATGGTGTGGCCAGCGGGGGGTGTGTGTGTGCCTAGAAGTGCACATTTCGGCGACATCACACAACCCGCGGCCAGGCAGCACCGACTAGTCTGCAGCCAAAGCCCCGGAAGTTCTACGCAGTGCCTCGACGCACCCACGCCCCGTTACGCCTAGACGTTGTTTTCTTCTTTTGGCGTTTTCTGGATGTTGTGCATTCGGCAAAACATTCTCCGCTTCCCTTTGGCCGAGGGAACCTCAAGGCCGGGCCGACGAAGCCGTTTGAGCGCGCCGGTAAACACGGGGGGAGTTTTCCGCCCTCATTATTTGCCCCCGTCACATTGTTACGAACTGTGCAGTATGCCTGCATGACGTCTTTTTGCTATGTACCACCTCATGATGCATGATGCGCATGGGAAAAACTGGAGTTTGTACACTTTTTCTCGTCTGTATTCTTTTTTATTTCCTTGTTTGCGGCGACTACCCGAGTCTGGCGTTACGGCATGTTTAAGAATATGATACCTCGGTTTGCTTATGACCCAAAAATTCATGTCGTAGCAGTGTATTTGTCGAGCTTGGGCCGGCAGTCTGAAGGTTTCTAGCGTGGGTGTGTTTGGCATGCCTGGCGGCAAAGTGGCTCGGCATGACGGTATAGGCGCATGTTGGGCCGACGCCGGTTTCAACGTTTGGGGCCCTTTTTTTATGGTTCTTCAGCTCGTTGACGAGCGTAGTCGTGTTTTTTTTGTTAGCGGGCGACGGGGATGACGGATGTTTCCGACTTGGACACGGATCAGGCAGTATGCAAGACAGATATATAAGGATATATTGATAATAGGTGGCCATGTAGCGGCGTCGAGGATGTTCTAGAGTGATTTTGACAGTGGGCTGGCGTGTGCATGGGCGGAGGGGATTTGGGACCCAGGGTAGCGCGGAGGTGGACCCAGGCGTGGTGTGCATGTGCCTGCCACGCGTCGTTACCGAGTGGATGGATGTTTCAGGAGCCAAAAGGCAGCCATGGCATGAGGGCTCGCGGTGAGTTGGGCGCGTAGGGTTTCAAGTGTAGAAGCGGTGCCGCGGTGGGCAGAGGCCAGGAGGGCGGACCGATGCCATGGCATGGAGAGTGCAAGCGAGCTGCACGACGGCAAACAGGTGTCTGCTAGGCCATGCTGCACGATGCAACTGCCATGCAAGCAAGATCTCCGAGACGGGAACTGACTCTTGCACGCCAAGGGGAGTAGGTTTATCGAGGGCAAGGGGTGTAGTGTAAGTTTGTAGAGTATGTATTATGTACTAGGCGGGCGTGGTATAGGGCAGAGAGTGGTGAAGTTGTTTTGGCGATCCGGCGCGGTGGGTCGGACAAGGCTTCTCCCGTCGCCCGCGCCTCCCCTCCCGCGCGAACGAAGGAACAGACACAGACACAGACACAGTGACTGTTTTGAGAAGAAAAAAATAAAAATTAAAACAAGGTCGTGCAGGAAGGCACGGCGTGTTTCGCGCGCGCCTCTCTGAGTTAGCAAAGCACACGCAGACACCGACACCGACACCGACACCGACATACACACACACACACATTCACACGCACACGCACATACACAGCCCTCTCCCGTCTCTGGTTGCAACGGCGTTGGCAGAGACTGGCATTCACGCTGGGCTGCAATGGTGCGTCACGCCCGCCATAGTTGCTGCTAGCAGAGTACGGGTGACATGGAGAGGTCACGCATGGCATGGGCGTGGATTGCCCCCGCCAGCGACTAGCCGGGCCTTCTTCGGACTTGCCCCCAGCCTGTAGAGTCAACACCGAGCCAGCGATCGTCGAGCCCTTGTAGTATCCTGTGTGGGCGACGCGTTGGCGACTGGGCCGGGAGACATCGGCAGACCATCCCCACGGAGACGGCATGCCCACCTTCTGACCGCCACTCTGCCATGCTGGGCCTCCGCCTCCGACTCTCGTTGCTTTTGCCCACCACCGTGCCCTAAACACCTCGAATCACGCAAACTCGATGCTCCCGCCCTTTTCCACCACCGGTGTGACTTGCCAGCACACAAAAGGCCCATGTCTGCCTGCTGCCACTCGCCATGGCCTCCACCCCACCCCTCCCCTCAGCTCCCGTACCAGCCCAGAGGTTCGGCCGTCGACCAGCCCACCCCACGGTGCCACTGCCCTGCCTGTCCAGCCGCTCTTGCCTTACCACCCTGTCGGATAAACTTTGTCCACGCCCAGCGCAGCCCATCGCATCCTCGCCTTCTTCCAAATACTCTCATCCACCCAAGTAGACTACTGCAACAACGTATCAAAGCCCACCGCTTGTCCTGGAAACTAGACTTCCGGCCGCTCCTACCGCGCAACCGCACAACTCGTCTTGTAGCCGCCTGGTAAGTTTGCTCCTCCTCCTCCTCTTGCCTTGCCTTGCCTTGCCCCGCGCCCACATGATGACAAAGCTGGGGCCAGAAGAGTTCCTCTCCTCAGCTGCCCTCTGCAGCCGTCGATTGCAGGAACCATGCTTTCAAACCCAGCAATTCTACATCTTCTCAACTTATCTGATACCATATCCCCATACACTACTCGTTTCTGGCACTCTGTCATACATGACAAAGAACTTACCATGACTTAGTCAGGACCCGCTTTCGCCTCCAAACGACCGGCGCTACCAACAAGGCCATGGCAATGGTGCTATCCCGTCTTGGAAGCTGGGGCATTTGTCCAAAACTAGTCATGGAACAGGCCTTCGGACCCCCTTCTTCCATACTCATCACCTAACCCGTTCTTGAACTAGGGACTCCCATGGATAAGTTTAACATGTCTGGCAAAGGTTCCGCTTTGGCGACCACTCTTTGGTCGGCCCTACTCTCATGCCACTGAGGTACGTATATGTTAACCCTCTCTTCTTTTCCTTTGTCCAAGACGGCCTATTTCTAGCCCCGGGAATACCAAGTGTCGACCTCTTAAGTCTCCGGCAGATCCCGGAGTTTCACCCGTGATAATCGCCTGTCTCACGTTTTAGTAATGCTTGTGAACCGGTCTCATATAGTTCGTGTCCTACGGGACCTAGTGTTGTGCATCCTCTAGTCTATTTTTTTTCTAGCATGTCTCGCCGAATTCCTTCGGTATGTAAATTCCCTCTTGCCACCCCTTAGTCTCTGACATATTCGCTCTTGTAATCATGAGTTGTTGACAAGTCCGCTTGTTGGATTTAGTTTTCTCCACATAGTGTGATTAGCTTTACTAGCGTTGCTGTAGACTGCTTGTCAACGCTAGGGCATAATGCTGAGGTCACGAAGTTGGTTTACTACAGAATATACTTGTCTGTGGCAGGTGTAGCATGTTCTCAATTGCCAAGCTGGGAAACAAGTGAAAGGTACCTTTGACTCTACTTCACCACCCACAATCTGATTTACTACTACATGTTGGTCCTATGTATGTGTGTGCGTGTGTGAAAGCTATGTTGTACGATTGTGACTGCTCATGTCCATTCATGTGCTGTTTCCAGAAGCCATACAACCATGCGAACAACGTCTTGAGATGCCACCATCGCAACTACTTGCCATCAGCAAAGCAGCAGCTTCCCTTGCTGCCACCTACCTAACGCATCATGCTTCAAGCAAGAGCATCTCTACAGCACTCAGACTACTTTTACCCCGCCAACTCTCTCCATCTCCCCCAAATCCCCTGCATCTGCATTATCATCGTCATCATCATCATCACACCACCATAACACTACACCTCTAACCCCCAAACACCAGTATTCGCATCCACTACCACTAAACTATCAAAGCATCCACCACCATGGTTGCCCCATTAGCGCAACCTCCCACCGCGCCCTCCACAGACCCACTCACCACAGAGCATGCAAAGCCCAGCAGCACTTTGCGCTTCGCCGCAGAGCTGCCAACGCACCTTCTGCACCTCGCATCCAGCACTGTCGTCTTCGCCATGTTTATCCATTTCATGCCGCAAGACGCCGATGCGGGCCTGGAAAAATTTGGCGCTATGCTGGTAAAAAAAAGATATCTCTCCATCATAGCCTTCCCCCC